ATTTTTGGCTTGAACTTCATATGCGAATATATGGATCAATAAATAATTCTATTAAAGATTTACACTAATATTCATTTATTCATTGTTTCTGTTGGTTACAATGTCCATTATATCGTCTATCTCTACTAGTATATAAAGTATTGATCATTGTTATTTTCTAGATTATTTAATTATATCTAAATTTTTCGATAATTAAAAACAATTAGTAATAGAATTATAAAAAAAAGTACTTTTACCTCTTTTTTTTTAAAGTGAGTAGTAAATTGATGTCCGATTATTTATCATTTTTAGTATAATAGAAAAATATAGAAATCTTGTCGCACTAAATTAAAATTCATTTGATTTTTCCGTTTTCAAGTTCAACAAATTATAACTGTTAACTTGATCAAATCGTGAACACGAGACCGCACGAGTGATGCACACCTCTGATATAAAATATCCTATTTCATGTAGATGATAGATTATATCAATGATTTCAAATACATTCTAATTACTTATTGTATTCTATTAATAAAGTTTAAAATATGAAAAATATTTTCTATCAATGAGAAAATTAAAGTATGAATACTTCCTTCACTAACACTTACTTTTTATTTAACAAAACGAAAAAATATTATTTCCACATTATTCGATCGTTTATTTTCTCATCATTGTCTTGATTTAACGTCATTATAAACTCCAATTGAAGATTATATTCGTTGGTTAACAATAAATTCAAATAATTTATATCTTTCTCATATATTATATCATTAGAACAATTCTGAAATGTTATATGATTTATCTAATGAATATTTTCGTGCATGATTCGATCAAGATGATTAAATAATGTTATTAATAAATTATGGTTTATGTAAATCTGGTATATTACTTGGACAAATTTCAAAACGAACATAATCAATGATATATATCTATATATTGTTCATTTTTACTTGAAAGTTATGAAGATGATTTAAATAAAGTATTAATATCAATTCTAATAACATATAATATAATTTCGATATGTGTTTATATAGTTTTATTTTATTTTATTGAAAATAATTATTTAAATTCATATAGCATTTTACTATCATTAATTAAAGATGATCTATCATATATATAAATAATAATTTAACACAACAAAATTCTGTCAATTAATCTTGAAAAACTTTTAATATTTGGTTAATATCCTAACAAATAATATATGCTGTGTTATATAAACGTTCAATAACAATAACACATCAATTGAACATCTTGTTTTAATACTTTATTAGAATGATAAAATGAAAAACATATATTGATTAAATAATAAATACATTAATAAAAAACCATAAATGATTGATGGTTCATCAATAATATCATCATCAAATAATATTTTTATTGAACTTGTTGAAGAATTTTATATCAAAGTACTAAACAATCATCGACATTACCATACGAACCTTAACTTTTAATAGTAGTTAAACTATTTTTCTGAAAACATTTATCAAATGTTTTATATGATAGATGGTTCAATGCTAAAAACAAAAAGAAGAAAATTTTTAAAATGAACTTGATCTTTTATTTGTTGTTCTTCAATCATTGTGAATCCTTTTGAGTCGACAATGTTTCATTTAATTATGAATGGCTTGTCCATTTTAATTCTAAAACAAAAAGATACTTTCTCTTGCATTTCTCTCTTGTAGCCCAAAGAAAGTACTTCCAAGTTCTAATAACCAACACCTCAGACAATCCATATCTTGAGAAAAAACCTATCCTGAAAGTCCCCACACTTACCAAAATTCCGTTTTTTACGGGGCTACCCTGAGCAAATGGAACAGTATGAATAGCCGAAATTTTCAGGAGAGATATATCTCTCAGTGTTCTATTAACAGTAAAAATTTGAGAGCCGTATATCATTCCTATCAAAAGTTATGAAGTGCCAAAGTTACCATAAATGGACCTTCTTTCATATATTGAGTGCTTCATAAAATCCCAACAGCTCAATATTTTAAAACGAAAATTTTATAGTAAATAAAACTCATTGAGATATATGGTAATAAAAAATTTCAGCTCATTTGGTTGAGCCATTCGTGAGATATTGCTGCATTAGGACCCCTATTTATATATAGGGTCATTTTTAGGCCTTTTCGTAAAATGCTCATAAAAAATTGAGGGTTGAATATGTTTTGAATCTGCTTGAGTCAAAATTCATAAAACTCTGCCCTCTACAACATATCTCAAATTGAGCAAAATCTGACGACATCGATTGAGCAGGGTCTCTATGAAGTCGGTCGTGGCTTATATGGACTGGCTCATAAATCCCAAGATTTATTAAAAAAATCCAATAAATCCCGGAATTTATCCCAATGATCCGAATAAGTCCCGAGAATGTAATAAATCCCGGGATTTATTAAAAAATTCCAACAAATCCCAAAAAAATAAGCCCCGGTAGCTGCTAATCAAATTTGGTCAAACTGGACCCAATGTAGTCGAATTCAGATAAAATCTGCTCAAGCTCTGTCAGACCCCAGTCAAATCTAAGTCAAATCCAGTCAGACACAAATCCAAATTCAGTCAAGTCCAGTCAAACTCAAACCCAAATCTAGTCAAATCCTGTCAACCCCAGGAGTTGGGTTTGACTGGATTTGGATTTGGTGCATGCCTAACACCCACACCCTTACAAAGATCGTTAAAGGAAAGATTTCAGGTGAGGAAAATACTTGACAGTGTGATCCTATGAGAAATGAAAGCATGGAATTCACAAACTCTCACTGTTATAAATTTATGGTATGTTATGAGATGTTTGAAAAAAGACTTATCAAATTAAAACATATATCGAAATTATAAAAACCTTTATAGTTGATAAGCGTGCACTGGAATTTTATTACTTATAAAATGACTGATATATCTTTTGTTTTAATGATTTAGAATACTAGGCAATAGTTTTATATAGAGAGAGAATTTTTAGCTGAACGTATACTAAAACAGTGGAATGAGTTCACCTGAATTTACACAAAATTGTATAATATTGAGTACTTACATGATCTATTCCCTTGATCGACTCGATATCAGCTCTTCGATTAGTGCCAGAAGGTTAAAAGAGGTTAATAGTAGCAAGAGATAATGAATGCAAAGTTCTCGACGTACAACATCCAATGTAAATGATATTGGCAACAAACGTTTTAAGAAATGAGTTGACACTAAATTAATTGTTCGTTATTTCTATGAACACTACAAAATTCTGAAGAACTCCTTAAAATAAAAATATTTGCCCTAGAAGTAGTCAGTTACCTGTATCGAAATCATTTTTTTAATATTATTAATAGAATCTCTAAAAAGCTACATCTATGTGGAATTTACTTCCTTAAATATGATATTTATTTCAATATTGCTGACTAATTTATGTCAATTAAAAATTATAATATGAAATTGCATGATACTGAAATATTTTCTTTATTTTTCCATCATTCATAACCTGAAGCAGATGTACAGCCTCATATTCAGCAATAGAAAAATGCTAGTTTTTGAACTCCCATTATGACAAGTTCAATTGACCAGATGTGATTGAACGTCTATGCATGTCTTAATTCAATTTACATCAATTTTTCTGATACATCCATAATCATCAAAGCGAGATTTTCATTATTGTGAACATCATCAGCGATAAACTCATCTTTGCTGTATTAACATGTAAGCGATGTTCAGATTCATGCTTTGATTCTGTGCATATTCTCAAATGACCTTATATTTTTATTAATCAGATAGATGTTATTTTTTTCAAGTACAATAAGCCGATGTAATACTGATGACCAACACGTGTCCCAAATTTCACGATGATCCTCGAGTATATTGATTTCATCAGTCAGAAAGTTCGACTGAGAAATGAGTACAGAATTCTGTTCAGCTACATGTTATAAACAAAGATATTTTGACAACAACTTCATAGCCTACATGATATTTGAGTACATTTCTTTATCGAACATAATGAAGACATTGAATGAAAATATCAAAGTTTTGATGTTATAGAATCAGTCATAGTAGGAAGAGAAAATGAATCATCATGTTAACTTTCAAGATAAGAAAAATGGGTGTCTGTCGAATGAAAGAAACAAGATTGCTTTTGTATTCATATAACGAAGATGAATGGATTTTTTCCACTTTATATACAATAAATGGGTGTTGTAAAGATGGTGACTGTACAAGAATAACTACGAGTATTTGAACTGAACGTAACTACTTGTGTAGAAATAGAAATATTCATAGAAGTGAAAGTCAAGTTGCTCGATGATGAAGTTACAAGAGTTTTTCAGAGTTTTTTTTTTATTTTTGACTTTTCACCGTTCTCAAATGATTCTTGGATAACATTGGATACAAAACTTGTAGTTCTGACACCGCTCAAATGATGTCATGTAATGGATGATAATAAAGTATTTATAGCTAGTTTTTCATTTTAAAAAGATTTATATCGTTTTTGACTATTAATTGTTTAAATTTTTCTACATAATTCTTTCTATTTTTATTGTTATAGATTGATATCATTGTCTTCAAAATGAAAAAGTAGCTAAAACTATATATTTTACTTGTATAATTATCCATCCATTGATATCTTTATAGCAGTTAGCCGATTTAAAGTGCCATTGACAAACGTTTTGTAAAAGTAGTAATTTTCTCAACTAGTGTAACTTCGATAAAACATATAAATACACAGTCTACAATTTTACAGATAATAATTAGATAAAAGTTCTTTGCTATGAGTCATATTTTCTGAAAAAAATTAATATTCTATTCTCGAACAAATAGTCACCTTCAATTCAACTATTTGTAGTTACTCTTGTAAAGTCACGATTCTTGTGACACATGTTTATTGACTCTAAAATGAAAAAAACCAACACGACTCTCGTTATATAAATTCAAAAGAAATCCTTTTTTTCTTTCCTTCAACTAACAAATATTTTTCTTATCTTGAAATTTAACATGGTATTTCATTTTCTCTTTTTCCTATGACTAATTCTAGATAAACAAAACTTGATTGTTTTTATTGAATGTCACAAGCATGTACAATGAACAAATGTACACGTACATTGCGTGGACTATGTGATTGTTGTCAACAAAATCTTTGTTTACAACATTTGAATGAACATAATATTGAACTCATTTCTCAATTGAATCCTCTGACTGATGAAATCAATATACTTGGAGATCGTCTGGAAACATTAAATATTCAAAAGATAATCGCCATTGAACGCGAAAAACTTGAACAATGGCGTCAAGATTGTTATAAGAAGATAGATCTTTTTTTTGAACAAAAATGTCAAGAACTTGATCAATTTGTTAATGAAAGAATTGACCAACAACGACAAGAACTCAAGCGAATACAGTTAAAAATAAGTGAACTAATCAATGCACAAGAAACAACTCGTCACGATATCGATTCATTAACATCAACTATTCGCCAACTCGAAAGACGTTTCAAGAACATTGAAGAAAAATGTGTTACAATCCATACGCGTCCATTGCTAATAGACGGTACATTAGTTTCTCTTGAGAAAACAATTCAACTTGAACTTGATCTATCAACTCTTTCATCCGTCTACAGAACAATTCATTATCTTAAGGGAAGTTTTATATCACTAACTTGCAATGATCGATATTTATTGATTCATCAACATCCAAATTTATGCTTGCTTGATCGAGAATTGAACATAGTCAAACAAACATTATGGTCATATAGTGAAATTTGGGATATGTGTTGGTCATCAGAATTAGATCGATTTATTGTACTTGGAAAAAATAACATCTATCTGATTAACGAAAATACAATGTCAATTGATAATGTGCACAAAATCGAACGACGAACCTGGGCATCGTGTACGTGTTCTGATACAGTTCTCTTTGCAAGCACAAATGAACGTGCATCATCGATTATGGAATTCGCATTATTCCCAACAATCAAATTGAGAAGAGAATGGAAATATCCTGTAACATGCACCAAAGATGAATTTATCTCTGATATTGTTTACAATAATGGGAATCTTGCTCTGATGATTGTAAATGCATTGAATAGATCATCACATATAGAATTGAGATATTCAAAGACGCTCACACATATTTGGTCACTTCAACTTGACATAATGTGTAGCCAAAAAGCTGCACCTCGTTGTTGTTTCTTCCCTTGTAATGAATGGCTCGTTGTCGACTATGAGACTGGGCGCCTATTTCAGATTACAAAAGACGGCGAAGTAAAGAGAACAACTGAATATTACCCAGCTGCTGGTCGTACTAGTCTGTTCGGCATAAATAAGCTAGCAGTAGCCACTGGTGATGATGTA